GTGTTTTTAACGAATTGAAAAAAATTACAATATGCCGTTGTAGTATTTCAATCTCAAGTATGAAACATGTTGTTTTGGGAGGGGAGGGGAGGGGGGGGGGGTTTATCATATATAATAATAATAATAGTTGTAGTTCATTTCCAGGTTTCGATATTGAGTAGTATACACTGCCTACTGTGGTTAATTCGCATCGCACGTATCTTAAATTGTGTTATGTTAGTGTTGGAAGTGTGTACTTAAAGTGTGCTTGTTCTCTTAAACTGTGCTCTGTTCTCTTAAAGTGGTGCGTCTGTGTAGTGAATATTGCGGGTTTTCTTTTCTGCAGGTAAGAAGGTTAAGGGTGCGCGGGCTGCTCCACGGGTGGTTGAGGGGGTTTGAGTGATGATGACTTCATTTCCCCACCGTTGGCTTTCTTGGCTAGGTTGGAGCAAGACCCGTTGTGGAATGCGACTGAAGATTCTTCGGATGGTGGTGAGGGGTCTGTAGTAGAGGATGCTGAATTTCCTACTGTTAAGTTTCGATGGCAGTCTGGCGTGCTTGTTGATGCGCTTCAAGAGTTGTCTGTGCGACAGAAAGATGATATTAGGGGTCGAGGATTTGGGCATTTGTTGGATTTCAAGGTGTCAGAGTGTCCTCCTAGCCTTGTGCATTGGCTTCTATCTAATTTTGATGGGCAGTCTAGGACGTTTGACTTGGGCGGTGGTAGAGTCTTTCCTGTCTACGAGCGTGATGTTGAATTAGTGTTTGGGTTTCCACGTGGTGAGTTTGAGATGGTGAAGCGTGAGAGGCTGCAGATTTGCAACCTGTTGAAACATTGGAGGGGTTTGTTTGGGAAGGTGAGGTATATGGTGTCTTTGTCCATGGTTGCAGACAAAGTTATTACGGAGGTTGATGGCGGTGACTGGTTTAAGAGGCATTTCTATATGTTGGTGCTATCTACGCTGGTGTGTTGTATGAGCAATGACTATGCAAATCAGATGTATTTTCATTGTTTCGATGATGTTTCTCGGATCCATGAGTTAAATTGGTGCAAGTTTCTGCTAGATTCTTTGGTGGAGACTCAGGATGCTTGGATTTCGGGTCGTCATAAATGCTTCGTGGGCCTTGTGGAGTTTATTGCGGTATGATAGTATTTGTTATTTTCTGGCTTTTTACTGTTTTGTTGTGTTATTCCCTTATTGTGTTGTTTGTTGTTTCAGCTATTTTATGTGGACCGTGTGTTGGCGTTTGAGCGGTCTGTTCCACGGCTTGTGCCTTCTTTGCGTGGGTGGACATCTGAGTTGCTGTTTGCTAGGGAGGCCGCAGAGATGAGTGCTGGTGGTTTTGGTCTTGGAGAGATCGAGCCTGCTGGTGTGTGCTTGCATGCTGATGCTGATTGTCCCGAGTATGGGCCTAAGGTATTAGTGCACACTGTATGTTTTACTTGCACACTGTATGTTTTTTTTGCAGTGTGTTACTTCGCTAATTTATGGGGTATCTTTTTTTGTTCGTGCTAGACATTTGAATGTGTGGTTAGTGAGGCTGTTGCTGCTTTGGCGAGTTCGGTTGATAGCTTGGCCCAGCTTTTCAAGATGGCACGTGCTAGGGTGACAAATGGGGAGGTTTGTCGACGCTTGTATGCTCCTATGCAGCGCCGGTTGCAGGATTTGGATGCTGATTTCCGGGAAATTTCTGAGGGGTTTAGCATGAATGATATGCCTTCCTTTAGCCTTGGGTTAACGCAGGATGGTGCGGCTGCGGGTGCTGGGGGTCGGGGTGCTGATGGGGGGCAGGGGCCTGAGTCTTCCCCGTTTCTTAGGGATTCGATAAGCTTGTTGGTGTTGTGTGCTGGGTTGGGGGCCGCGATGGAGGAGGCTGGTTTGGCTGGGCGTGGTGCTAGAGGTGATGTTGGTGGGGGGGAAGGTGTGGGTGGTCGCGCTATGCCGGAATCTCGAGAGACTACTGCTGTTGTTGAGGTTGGTTCTTTAACTACTTTTTTCTTTGGCAGTGATTAATATTGGGTGTAGGTACTGTGTACTAGTATATATATGTTGTCGTGCTTGGCAGTGTGATGATGATGATGATGCGTTTGGTGGTCAAGCTGTGGGTTCTGGTTCGGGTGGTGCTCGTACGCCAGACACTCCGGAGTTTTCTACGCTGACGGAGGTTTGAATTGTTTATATTTTGTAGAAATATTGTTTCTATATTTTAGGGGGTGTGCTAGCGAACTGCTATACATGTGCGTGCCTGTATTTGATAGTTCTGGTGTAGTGTGCTAGGTGTGTGCTACCAGTTTGCTAAGTTTTGCATGCCTCGTTTCTTTATTTTGCAGGAGTGTGGTGGTGGTGTTGTTTCCCGTGGTCCTACGTTGTCGGGGGAGAGGGGGGGGGGGGCTGTGTGTGCGGCCCCGGTTAAAGCTGTTCGTCCTAGTAAGTATCTCGCGTTTGATATTCCGGTGGTTGCCACTCGCCTTCAGTATCAGCCGTTCAGCGCCAGTGAGCGTGTTACATTTTCCGTTCCCAATGCCCCGGAAGATGCTTTGATCGTTAATTGGTTGCTTGGGGGCTCGACTGCTGACAAGTTAGTCTAGTGGTTTGGTTTCTTTGTGGTGTTTCCATTTTTTTTTTGTATGTTTTGTTTGGTGACAGTTTGTTGTGTTGTTTGTATTAGGGGGCGTACTATATTTTCAGCTGGTGTTAGGTCTACAACGTGGGAGAATTTTCTGTCACTGACTCCAGGTTCACAGGTTGATGTTGCGATTATAGATGCCTGGGCTGCTGTGCTGAATTTTTTGGAGCAGTCTAAGCCTCGGTCGGCCCCGTCACGTCTTTTTGCTTTGACGTTCACCACGGTTAGTTTTAGTTGCTCAAATTTTATTTCCCTTTCTTTTTTGTTGAGTTATTTTGTTTAATTTTTAATTGGTTTGTTTGTGCGTTGGTGGTAGGTTGTGTTAACTCACGACTGTGGTTGATACTTCCCGTGGATGGGATTAAAGGGTTGTATGGTTCCGTGAGAGGTTAATGATGGACCTCCGGGCATCTCCGTATGAAAATATTACGGCGATTGACATGGTATCTTTGTCATTTTTTGGTCAGTCTTACTTTGGATTTGTGTGCATGGTTGTCTGTTCTGGGTGCATGGTGCCGTAAATATCTTTGGCCTCTGTTTTGGTGCACAGTCAATCCCATTTATATTTCACTCTTTTTTGTGTGCAGATTTTTTTCCCGATTATACGCCGTGGTCACTATTTCCTATTGTGCTTTGATTTTGTCCGGTGTCGGTATGAGATCATTGATAATGACTCTAATCCCGCTGCGAAGGCTGACAAGTACAGTGGTTGTGTTGATGTGTTGGTTAGTGTTCTGTCCATTGCTTCCAATTCCCCTTTTTTTTTTTTGTAAAGATTTTGTATCCTTTTGGTCTGTTATCCATGGCTCTAGTTTCCATATTTTCTGATTTCTGCTGTGTGTTTTCCAGTTGTAGAAGGCGATTCTATTTGAGTTTTTTGAGGTTATTTCTCCTTCGAGGGCAACAGTTTGTGCTGGTGTTGAATCTAAGCGTTTGCAAATGGGATGGCGTGATTCGAAGAATAAGATCGATTGTGGTATTTTTTTAATGCGGCACATGGAGACTTTTGTTGGCCAACGGGTTCGTGATTGGGAGTGTGGCTTGGTTAAGGGTGACTGTACGGTGCTACACAAGTTACGTTTGCGGTACATGAATGAGCTGGTCACGTCGCAGTGTAATGTGATGAGGGAAGACAACCTTGCTCGCGCTTACCAGTCGATATCAGTTCCACCCCCTTCCACTTAGTGGCGTTTTTTTCTTTTCTTATGCTGTGTTTTTTGGTGGTGCATGTGGTGCGCACACTTTGAATGCATATTGTGCTCACGATGGTTTTTGTTGCAACTTGAGCTGGGTGCACGCTTTTTGTTGTTAGTTTTAATTCATGAATGGCTTAGTTGTATTATGCTTTCAGCGTTTTTATATTCCTATTTTTTTTGGTATGCTTAGTTATTGTTGGGTTGCGCATATTTCTTGGTTTTCTATCGCTGTCTTTGCATTTCTGTCGTGGTGCGTATATTTATCAGTTTAATGTTCCCCATGGCGTGCGCAGTAGTACAGTGGTGTGTTCGTCTCGATGGGTCACGGCTCAAAGTTAGCATGGGTGCGCGGCATACATACATGTGTGCGTAGTTGGTTTTTTGTGTGTGCGTTGTCCTTATTTGTGTGCTCGGTGTGTTTTTTTTTTTTTTAGAAAACCTCTCGCGTGCGTTGTCTGTTGGCTGGTGGTTCTTTGTGCGTATATATATTGTGCTCTGTGCGCGGATACAAATCTTGCATTGTGTGTGACGTTAGTTTGCAATAAATTTGTTTGTGTGCACGTTCTACTTCGTTTTGTGGGCGATGGGGTTTTTTTTTTTTTTTTTTTTTTTTCTTTTTTAACATTCGCGTGCGTCCATTCGGTGGGTGTTGTCTTATGGCTCGTTGTGCACGTATGTATTTACCTTTGTGCTCGTATATATTGACCTTTGTGCGCGTATGTGTTTACCTTTGTGCGCGCATCTAAATGTAGGTATTTCAGTTTTGCTGTACTGCAGTGGTGGTACTAATAAAAATGTTTGCTTCATATAAGTAAGTAAATTCGGTTCGTAAATGTAAACATAATGACAATATTTCATGGGTTGTTGAATTGAACTGTTGCAAACTTCGTCTTATGCGAGTTTATCCAGACAGGTGCGACTGTTGTGCCCGAGGAGATCGCATATATTGCATGTTCTTTCTTTTTTCTTTTAGTTGTTCATGGTGGCTGTCTCTCTGTTGCTTTTGAGTCTCTTCCCACTCCCTTTGTTCTTTGCAACTTTTGGTGGTTTTATTTGTATGTCGCTCGGTCTGCTTGATCCGACTAGTCTTTCAAACACAGATTTGTTGTTGGCGTGCTCTTGTGTTTGTTGCCTCTCGTTTTCTAGGTCTTTCTTGAGTTGTTGCAATGTTGCCAACATTTTGTCTATCTTGTCTGGCTAACCATTCACTAATCCCATGCAGTTGTAGAATTCATTCCATAGTTGATTTGCAACTTTTGTTGTTTCAGTTGCCTTGAGAATTTTTGTTCTTTTTGCCCATGTGACATCGTATAATGGTTGTGCACATGCGTCTCGCGTCCACCGTGGGACAATATACTTTTGTGGGATTGTTTCATACCCTCTTGTCTTCATCAGTTGTAGCACATACCTGCATAGTGTACCGACACGGTTGAAGTTCTTGCATGCACACTCTATTTGCTCCGTGCTTGGGATTTCTGTTACTTCAAAATTTTTTCCACCTGTTTCTTCAACTTGATAAGTCCATATGTCACCTAGGTTATTTTTGTCGGTGATGTGGCATATGAAACTGGCATCCCATACCTCTTGTTGGAATTCATAGAATATGTTTACGGTGTAAACTCTAGCAGCGTGCTTCTCAATACTCAAAGGGGTTTTAGTTTCAGGGTACGAACCTTCATTTTCTGCGTTGAGTTTTGATTGTTTGTGCCTCTGTTCTCCAATTGCACTATTGTATTGTGCCATGAATTCTACCAAGCTGCAGTGGTGGTTTGTAAATTTACCAAAGTAGTTGTTTTCTGATTCTGACCGTGATGTGGTCCTTAGCAGACCACCCATTAGTATGTCGTTGAAGTATGCAGGTATCCACGATGCACGTGCCTCGTAGAGTTGGGCAAACCACCAGTGGTCTTCAAGATTGTAGTCCTTCATTAGTGTTGTCCATCTCCTCTCAAATTCATCTACTGTTAATGTGCCATCCCATACGGTGTTATTCAGTTCCTTTTTGAAGTCTGCGTTGTGCCACAATGTAACCCCTACCTTTTCCCCAACTTTTGTCATGATGTGCCACATACAGAATCTGTGCCTTGTTGTTGGCATAATTTGTGGTACTACTATTTTTAGTGCTGGATCTTGGTCAGTTGTAGCACATCTTGGGGTGTATTCCATTGCAGTCTTGAACTTCATGACTAGCCACTCATATGACTCTACATCTTCTTTCACAATCAACCCTGCCCCAAATGTTATGCATCTTTTGTGGTTATCCACCCCTGTGAAAGGGACGAACACTTGTACCTGCAATATAAGCACGTTTGTAATTAGTATTAAGCACACTTCTTGTAATCTGACGACTAGTATATAGTACGCTGCTGCGCACGCTGAATTTCTACGTCCCGCACGTTTATTTTTTTAATCCCTGTCCAGACCCTTGCGCGCACACCGTTCACACAGCGCATGCACAGTGGCGGGTCAGGATATTTTAAACCTCATATGAGTTATACCTGTTTGTACTGTAAGTGGCGTCAAATGACATGATATCTCCATAATATGCATAGTTCCTCCGGCATTCTGCGTCTGCCCAGAATAACCTTGTTAATTGAGCTTCTTCGTCTATGTCGAAATCGAAATAGAAGTCCGGGTTGTCCTCTTTTCTTTTGAACATGTCTTCTATCACCATTTGGGCGTCGGCCTCAGCTATATAGGCCAATAGGTCTCGTCAGAAATTGCAGAAGTCAATGCATGTTGCTCCTACATCTGTGAAATTGCCCACCTTCTCTTTGAACAGTTTGAAAGCCTTTGTGGGACCGATGTTTGCCTTTGCACAGTGCGTCAAGAAGGTTTTGTGGTCGATGTCAAGTTGCGTATTTATCTTTAAAAAAGGTTTGGCCGCATCTGAGCATAGACAGTGGGTATGTCGCAGCTGGATTGCATGTACTTTATATCCGCCCTTGTCACACTTTGTCAATACCATACGTGCCTTACAGCCTATCCTGTTGGACACACTCCTCCGTCTCTGTTTTTCTTTTGAGCTATTATTGGGTTCCTTCCGTTCGGCCTTGTAACCCTCCCGTGAGCACAGCATATATTTTATTGACACTTGCCCAAATCGATTTCTACACTTTGTTCCCTGCCTAACATCAAATCCGGTTTCCTTAGCATATTCCTCGTAGAACTCAATTACGTTTTCAACTGTTTCGAATCGCTGTCCTTCGAACAGTGTTTTCTCTTTTGCTGTGGGTGGCGTCCAGAATTTTGAACCATCTTTGTGTATTTCCATTTCACATTCCATTACGTTGTGTGCACATTGGTCTGCACCTATACAAGATAACAAATGAATATTTCAGTTTCGTCCAATAATGAATGAAGTGATGCAATGCGTAATTGTGTGTGTGTTTTCCTTTTTTTTTTTTTTTTTTTTTTTTTTTTTTTTTTTTGGTTCTGTTGTGTGCCCGACTCATCATTTTCGTATGCTCGCGTATAAGAATATAAGTAGTGTATTTTCTAATTGTCCAATGAATGTTTAATTATTTCTCTGTCTTTCCTACAGCCATATGTTGGTGTTTAAATTTCCTCATGAATGTCTCTACACCTATTTATCTACCCAAGCTTATGTTTCTGTGTGTAACTAATGCGATCTACTATGTGTGCATGTGGCTATATGGCTTTGTGCTTGGTTCTGTAATCTATTCACCCCCTCACCAGATCACAGTTTTTATCTCCTGTGCTTGTATAGTGTTTCCCATTACTGTTACTTGTACTTGGTTTCCCCAATAGTTTGTAACAAAATTCACACAGTAATAACGTTGGATCCATAAATTCAGTTATGCACATACTTTTCAATCACTAAGCACGGTGTGTTCTACGGCACCCATAATTGTATTTCGATGCTTACCTAGGAATGTTGTGTGTGTGTTCTCCATGGTCGCTGCTTGCAGTTGATGTTCGCCGACGATGTCTCTCTCAGCACGGTGATTTGGGCGTTGGGGTGGTGGTTGGCGTCGGATTGTATTAGTTGTAGGATAGTTAATTGTAGTCGAATTAGTCTTCTTATATATTAGAACTGTTTTATTTGTATGTTAAGTAGGATTCTATTTGTTTTGTCTGAATTGCCCTTTTCATATGCAATCTTATCCTGGAGCCTCTTTTTCCATGTTCCATCCCAACCATTAATCTAATCTAATCTAATGGCTCATATTTGTCCACAGGTTTGTATTTTAATGATGTTTGCATGTGAATGCGACCATATATATATATAATTTCAGTTAACCAATAACATCATTTAGTAGTATTTGTTGCTCTACATTTACTTTGGTTACTTCATTATTGGTGAGCTGTCGTAGGCTCCCAAATTAAAACCTTACAAACGTAGTAGCGGGAGTAAGGATCGATCCCACGAGGAGTAACTAGTTTAACTTTTGTGCTCAAATTAAAGGTAGGGGGGTTTGGAATATATCGAGAATAAAGATAAAATAAAAGAGAATTTAAATAAACAAGAAATTTAATTGAACGAATAAAGCAATGAAAATGATATATCGAAAACACTTATAATAAGAAACCTTGGTTAGTAAAGATCCACCACCGGAATTCAACACTGATCATTGATTAATAAAGTAATTAATATGCAATTGAATATTTGTCGTGAAATTATTTCATTTCTGTTTTCCCTTAGTTGTAGGTAAATAAAGCACAAGCGGTTTAATTACCCCTAACTACTAAATAATCTAAGACAAGCGCTATAGATTTAATTTAATAGCAGCAATAGGAACTAGCAAAACCGACAAACTAAATAACACAAGCACAAGCGGTTGCATTTAATTTAGGAAAATATTCTACCCGAGACCAATTATCACTAAGCCGTCAATAATTAACCTCAGTTGCTACTGAATATTAGAATAATTTGTAGCACAACATTATCTAATATAGCAAATAATTATATCAAATAAATAACTAGTAGGCCTCCCTAGCAATTAAATGATACAACTATTCAATTAATTTAGAAGAATATTTAATACTCAAAATGCATAAAAACATATATATAATAAAGTTAAATAAATAACCTTACAGCGTTATGAACTTCGGGGCTTCAATTCACTAAACCAACTAGAAATTAGCCACAAATGGACATTGATAACAACTTCAACGAATACTATAGAGGAGGGAAGAATGAACATTTTACAATAGGAAACTCCTACTATTTATAGCATTCTAAAAATAGGCTCAATGAACCTCAACCATCCAATTCTTATTTTTTATCGCTGCATGAAAATGTCTTTTGCATGACTCTCGGCGATGGAATCGCAATTCCTCTACTTTCCTGCATGATCCACACGAATTGAAGACAAAAAAGGACAACATAATTATAATCCTTATATTTTTTTTTTTTTTTTACTAAGAAGTGGGCCACTTAATTTATTTAAATAATATATAATATATAGATATATATATATAATGCATATATATACTAGTAGTACGTAATAGGTATTATAAATTATATAAATTATATATTATATATTATATATATTAAATATTATATATAAAAAGAACTAATTATAAGATAATATTAAATAACTAATGCAAAATTATTATAAATATGTAGCTAAAATATGAGTGTAAAATGTGCCTATCAAACTCCCCCACACTAAAACGTTTGCTTGTCCCCAAGCAAAAATATTATTTACGAAGTAAATTGAAATAAAATTCCCAAAACTCACACTACAAGAAAAATGCACATAGACAACACTAGAAAGACAACAGTTTTTAAGAAAAGTGTTGTCTTTTGTATAAAAGACAACAGTTTGGTCCAAAACCGTTGTCTTTGATGCAACACTTTTGTCAAAGACAACGGGTTTTACTTAACCGTTGTTATAAGTGTGTTGTCTTTGTGAAAAGACAACACCACAACGACAACGGTTTTTTAAAACCGTTGTCTATGTGCATTTTTTTTTTAAAAAAACAACAGTTAACCGTTGTCGTTGGTGTGTTGTCTTTAAGCGCACTAGAATACACAACACTAGAAAGACAACGGTTGTTTAAAACCGTTGTCTTTGTGCACTCTTTTTTTAAAAAAAGACAACGGTTTTATTTAACCGTTGTCGTTGGTGTGTTGTCTTTAAGCGCATTAGAATACACAACACGTACTACAAAGACAACGGTTGTTTAAAACCGTTGTCTTTGCGCATTATTATTTTATAAAAGATAACGGTTTTATTTAACCGTTGTCATTTATGTGTTGTCTTTAATAACACTTGAATACACAACACTACAACGACACCGGTTTTATATAACCGTTGTCGTTGCATGTTCTTTATTTGTTTAAGACAACGGTTTTATTTAACCGTTGTCTTTGGTGTGTTGTCTTTAAGCGTATTTGAATACACAACACTACAAAAATAACAGTTATAAAAAACCGTTGTCTCTGCGCATCATTATTTTATAAAAGACAACAGTTTTATAAAATAAAAACAATGATGTTAATAACAAGAGTTGAACCTTTAACCTTAAACATAATAATTAAGGTTTAACCAACTACGCAACACAAACTCTAATGTGCAAAAGTGCAACATCTGGTATATAACTGGGTTGCTTCTGTGTAAACCAAAACAACAATTTTATAAAGTAGGTTAAGGATGCCTCTAAGATAGAACCCAAAACCTCTAACATAACAAACAAAGCTAAACCCACCAAGCCACACCAACTCTTGTTTATTAATTTTGGTCCTTTATAAAAAACAAAATTGTTGAAATTTCGTTAAATACAGGACATTTCGCTCTTCAATTATGAATTTTTTTCATAAAAAATATAACTGGTCAACGCACTTTGTATTAAAAATATCAAAATGTCATTCAATTTAATTTCAACGATTTTATTGATAGAGGACCAAAATTGATCATGTCGAAATAATACTAGAACCAAAATTGAATATTTTGATAAAAAAAAAATTACAAATAGACTGTTACCTATAAATCAAAGATAAAAAATGAAATTCACTCTTCTTTAAAAATTGACTTTCAAGACTATCACACTTTGCAAAAATCTCCTTCCCTCTCCCAAAAAAAAAAAAAAAAAAAAAAAAATCCCTCGCACACTGTGTAAAAAATAATCTCCTCCCCCCTCAAAAAATAAATTCCCTCTCAATTATTTTCGTTAACACTTAAAGGAAGACAAAATAAAAACAAAATTTCTTCGAGAAAGAAGAAAACAGTGCGACAGTGCAGTCCCTCCGTCGAAGTCGTTCGCCAAAGTCCAACCTCTCGATCGAAGTCGTTCGCCGTCGCTCGAACCTCCGCCACCGCCCCATCCCTCATCTGCCGCCGTCGCACCAACCTCGTCCTCTTCCCCGTCGTAAGCTTCTACTTTATTATTAGGTTTGATGTTGTCGAATTCAGTGTTTGAGTACTGGTTGTGATGTTCCAAAACTACCTATTGTGATTATAAAACCAATTGATCCTTCTGAGCCTACCCCTAACACTAAATTTTGATTTAGTGATGAAATTTTAATTTTATATTTATTATTTTAAAAATATGCTCTCGCTATTGATACGAGAAATATTGTTACTCCAATCGTTATGCCATGGAACCATGATCACCATCCATGGTGAACACGGTCCCAAATGGTAACGGCATCGTTATCTCTTTTTTTTTTTTTTTTTTTTTTTTTTTTTTTTTTTTTTTTTTTAA